CGCACGTGAAGAGCGATGCAACATCAAAAGAGACCATAGTTTCATCCGCCTCCATGACGACATCCCTCACCTTGTCAACAAACTCTCAGACTGAAGAAGTCTCTCGGAGAAGAGACGAAACGTTTCATTAGAGAAGAACCCGTCCAGAGGACCTATACAACTTTTTTTCTTTTTGATTTTTTTACCTGGATTATTGAGATGCATCAGGACATAGTAAAATTTATATTTCTAAAGAAACCAGTGATTGGTGTTAAATCTTCAATTTATCCTAATCTATTATCCTGAGCCAATTGCCAACAGTGGTGATGAAAACAGCTATTTTTAACCCTTCACATCTTGTCACTTTATCGTGGATTGTTGTACTGAATAATTTAGATTTTAATATGACTTAGCAAAAGTCTGCAATAAATTCAAACATGCACCCAACTGGATTATTATTTTTTTAATTGAATTTGTGTTCTGTTTAATTTCACAGTGGGAAAACGATAAGTTCAAATAAATCAATAAAAGCTGCAATTATTGATGTCTGTCAACACTCATGAGTGGATGGAAAAATGTAAAAAAATGAAAAATTATATCAAATTTTTATAAAAACCTAATAAAATTAACTGTTAATTTCATACTACAATCATGTGAAACAGCTAGATGTTGTGTAAAGATCTGTCACACTAATGTTTTAGAAAACGTATGCAAACATAAAAATTTTGTCATGACTAAATTACTTATACATGTTACAGTATATACAGGGTTCCTACAGCTTTTAGCAAGTTAAATTTAACAACTAGCTGCGAGAAGCTTTCTGTAAATTAGTTTTCAAAAATTAATAAATGTTACCAATTATTTTTTAATTTTAGATGAATTACCTTTTTAGCTAAGATGTATTAACATTTTTTAAGACCTCTGATAGATTAATTGGAGACTTTTTAAGGCTAATTAAGGCCTTACTTTTTTTTTTTTGATGAATTCAATGCCTTTTAAGACTTTTAAAGGATCAGTGGGAACCCTGTATATATTTGATCTAATTTATAGCATATAGCATAGTATACGTCCAAAATATGCTTCGAGTAGTTTTTTTCCACCCAATCTTCAGCGTAGACATCTTTATTGTGGAGAAAATCTTTGTAATTTGGCACAAGTTATCTAAAAACATCACTGTAACAGGGGCCTTAGGAAACTATAATGGGTACAATTATTAATAATCTAAACTAGACCTGAAGTCAGTCAATAACTGATGACATCCAGTGATTTAAAAACATTTTAGTTAAAATAATTATGACTTTGACAAGTTGAGGAATTTGCAACAAACTATTTTTAACATGTAAATTGTGTCTATTTGTGTATAAGTTCTACGAGTTGCAGCTAAGTATCTACTGAAAACCTAAAACAAGTCAAATGTAACTAAATTATAAATGTACGTCCAATGATGTTTGTCTGTTAGTTTCATTAAAATTTATACGTTTTTACGAAATGTTTGCTAAAAAGCACAATAAATCTTTTCAGAGCTTGTGGGAGGACAAAGAGTGCAGAAACCAGTGGAAATGTTWAACACAATATCACAAGTCCTGTGTGCTTCTTTGAAATAAGTGTTGTTGACAAATCTGTCAAGCTGACACGTCCTGCTGTCATCTTTTCTGTCAGCAGGATGAAATATCATAATTTAATTACAAATGAGATGTGTTGAAGCGTCAGACAGTTATCCAGCTTTGAGACCGGTTGGAAAAACATTTTTAGAACATTTGAATATCTTGTTGATTCTTGTTTTTTTTCCCTCCACATGTTAAATACAGTCTCCTTTTTTTCTGCTTTAGATTACCTGTCTCAAGGTGTGGATATGAGTGGCATTCAGGTTATAGAGAACGACTTGCTGATGATCAGCAGAGCCAGGCTGGAGGTGGAAAACCAAGCCAAGAGACTGCTGGAGCAGGGCATGGAGATCCAGGTACTAGAGCTGCTCAATTATAGAAAAAAAAATCKTACACACTGTTATTTTGATGTCAGCATTAAAATCAGGATTATACAATAATCTAWTCTGACTTCTAAAATACTGCATTTTTGAGCTTAACAAAGTGAATTGCCTCGTAGGGSAACTTTTTCCCTCAATACCTTCCTGATGAACTTTCTTTTAGAACAAATTTGACAGAGTATTTATTGTAATGTAGGCTGTTATACAAAATAATCTAAACAAATGAATAAAATTAGCAGTGCATTTACATCATATGTGACCCATCACATCAAAATGAGGATTGAGTATAAAAGTTTTATGTGGAGAAATAGGCAGATATAGGGTTTTGATTAAAACGCTTGCTAAAATTACATTTTATCAAAAATAACAAATGTGTTGTCACTGTACCATTTCAATGAACWGTCTGAAATATAATCCTAAAAAAATTTTTTTGAAGCATTTTTTTGAGCATTAGCAACCAAAAACCAGATTTTGAGGAAAAACACCTAAAAATGTTGAGATTTTCCCTGTGAGCTATCAAAGCTTTTGTTTCTTTCCAGCTGGGAAATCTCAGTATTCAAACACTATTTGAGGATTCTTTTTTAAAATGACAAATCCCCATTAAAATTACATAAAATTAGGATTTAGACCAAATGTTTATGTATTATTGTAACCAACAAGACAAATTAAATAATATCTCTGGATCTACTAATGACATCAGGATGATCTAAGTATCAAATATAGCTTTGGTCCAGGTAAAATTAAGATCCAGTGTTTGAATTGCACGGCCACAGACTGCCACAGCGTCTGCGCACAACAAAATACCACATTGTAGGACGAGTGTGATCAAACACGTCAGCCTACATTTACTGACACGTTG